AACAAGATAAATGAAATTACTTTATCCCTTCTGCTTGTCATTGTGATTAAGATTTTTGTGTAATAGTACTGAACAAATGACGTGGATTGTTATTTTTACCTATTATTCTCATGTTCTTGCACTTAACATATCCTGCAATATTTGGCCCTCATTGCATTTCATGCATATTTATTTTGAAACACTTAACCACACTTGAAAGTACTGATGTTCATTGCAGACAATACCCGATTCGAGAAGGCAAAATCTCATGATTGAACTTCAAAAGCTAGTCGCGGACTGGCCTTTGGAGGTGATAAAGCGTCAAAAGGATGAGAAGAGAAAGGTAAGCTGTTTATGCATTTTATTTTGAGCACATATAGGGCCACTGTATTTGTTGTGATGCTTATTCAATGTCGTCTTTGGTGTTACCTTTCCAAGGAGTTGGCTGTAACGCTACAACATGATATTCCTGCAATGCTCAGTGCATTGCCAAATATGGGCTTGAACTTGGATATAAATTTGGAAGATCTGACAAGAAAAGAAGGTGTCTTATCTTGAAATTTGGGTGAATAAAACATCGAACTTCATGTTGCCCCTTCACTGTGTATTTTGCATTACGGAGAAGCAGCCATCTCAGTTTACTACCTTCAGGAATATCTCCACATGTTTCAATCTTCGCAACTGTGATGCAACCATTAGTTGCTTGAAGGTAGTCTCAGAATACTCACCATTACTAGCTTGAGTGAGGATTCTTATGAATCCGACACATTGAATTACCCTTCTCATTAATTGACGTCCGTAATTTCTGCTGAATCATATATTGATGGGGTTTTCAGCTAGTTCAAAGTTCTTTTTCCCCATTTTAGGTGTTCTTTGATATAGATGGGGCTGACACTGCAGAAAGAGATGGTAGTGAAAATAAATAAGAAAATAAAGGTAATAAAGTCATGGCCTTAGCATCTTTTGGTGCATTCCTTCTTTTATTTCTTCATTGTAAATCAAAAGGGTAATTTTGAGACCAGTGTTGTGAAGAGCGTGAAGGGAGGAAAAGCGACAACCACCTTTTCGCTTAAAGCTAGCGAAGCGCTAGCTTTTTTGAAGTGAAGGGGAATTTTAAAAAAAAATTAAAATAAATACTGCATAGACAACACATGTAACTGAAAGCAAATGTTCAATACTTCAATGTAAAAACTAAAGGGAAAAAAAATCCGTCAGCATTTCGTTGCTATTTAGACGTTGAAACTGTGAAAGAGAGAGGAGGAGGAGGAGGAGGTACCTGGACCAAACTTGTTGCATTGTGAAAGATGAAAAGTGTAGAAAACTTGGAACCCTAGTGGAACACTAGTCGCCTTTTTCTCTTTCTTGCTGCTGGTACTTGTATGTTTTAATAAAAGACCACCTTTTTTTAATTAAATAGGCAGGCGTGGGTAAAGGGTCGCATCACCCTATCTAGTCTGACCTTACTATTTGCAGACAATAAGAAAATCAAAATCAGCACCATCATCTTGACCAAGGAAACAAAACAAGTATCAACAAGTCTATTTCCTTTCAGATTTTCTATTCTCAAAACATAATTACATCATGAAGGTGTCTTAATTACTAAAACCACCTACTAGATAAAACACACTTGAGCCCCTTCTAACCCTGAAAACCCCCTCAAGTTGAACATTATATGCTTATAAAATAATAAATTAATCAACATTTCAATGAATTTCTAGAAAGTGATATTTTTGAATTTCAACTTTTGGCATTATACTTTGCAATAAAGTCTATGCCAAAAGTTTCAAAGTTGGGGTGCCAAACTAGCATTGATCACTCTTTCTCCTCAGCAGCCAGCGCACAAAAAGATTGTCCTTTCCGCCACGCTATTGAAGTCAAGCATCAAACATGTGCCGATTAAAGGACCTAAGATATGGATTTCTTTTAACTCGAAAAGTAAACAGGCTTGAATTCTTTAAACCGGAGGCCGAGCCGAGTCATCTGTCAGCAAACCGGGTTCATCACCTTTTGGCTCTAAGCATTTGAACGACGGCATTTTGACTGCCATTTTCACACTGCGTGATGTGGAGCCCTCTTCAATATCAAGCCCTACTTTTGGCGACTTAATCGATGGACCTCTAGTAAAGAACGGTGGTGCAATCTTGAAAACCCACCGGTCCGACTTTGCTTCCTGGTCGAACCGGTCAATTCTCCCGAAAGACCTCGCACCAATATTGCTTCCCTCTCCGGTTCTGTTCCCTGCTCTAGTGCTACCATATCTTGGTATTGTGACTGCACAACTCTTTGTCCGGTTCAGTAGTGCCCGGCTCATCACCTCTTTCCTAACATTCTCCGGTAATCTGAGAGTGTACCGGTCCAAATTCTCCCCCGGTACCACTAACGCGTGGCCGGTCGAATGTGACCTGAACTTGTTAAACATCCTTGGCCTCTTTATAGAAAAAGACGACAGTGGCGGGTTCGGCACGTTGAAACTTAAAGTTCGATTAGCTTTCGGTTTTACAGTAGAGGTCTCCTCTTGCTGGAGCATACAATTTTCATCACTCTCTACTTGTATTGAAACCTCGTTATTTTGCTGCAAATTCTCTGTCCCTACTTGATCAGGGTTTGGTACCTCAGCGGCTTGAACCGGCGGTTCATCAGGTTGAGGAGTACTAAGGTCAGCTCGGCAAACCGGGCAAGTAACATGAGACTTGAGCCAAGCATCGATACATTCAGGGTGGAAAACGTGATCACACTTTGGGATCAAACGCAGCGTTTCGTCGTCTTCAAACTCGTTCAAACACACAGCACATTCCAAAGCTCCTTTACCGATATGATGATCCTTTACTTCGGCGTAGGTAAAAGTGGGGAAAGTCTCTATGACCAAATTATCGAGTCCACGTGTGGCAGCAGCAGCACTACGGCGGCGCATGGAAAGTGTTTGACGGATGGTGTTACCGTTAGCGGCGCTGCGGTTGCGGATGTAAATTGAGAAAAATGCAATGAAAAACAGTGCAGCTATGAGAACCACTATAATAACGGCCATTGCTGGGCTGACAGTTGGATACCGGAACCGATTGTGCGGTCCAGAAGAAGAATCTGATGGCTGCGCCGCCGCATTTGGCATCATTGGACATGATAATACGAACAGGAGGATCAGGAGATGAATATTGACGAGCCCATCTTGACTTTTAAAGCTAAACATGTCTCATATAATGCAATTCAATGTAAAATTTCCTTCCCTCTGTTTTTCAGTCGGATGGAGAAGGCGATGTAATGAACTTTAGGGAGTTAATATTTTTGGGTTTATATATAAATCCACAGAGAGAGATGGAAAAAAGACTTCTAATTGATGTGGAAAAGTCAGTTGTATTATTTGAACAAGGAAAAGAAAGTTTGACTTTTACGGAGGGGATTACAAGGCAGCTTCTATGAGGAGCGCTTTATAAAGAAGTATTTTCGGTAAGAATTAATTTGTGTTTGATTAATTAATTTGAAAATTGATTCTAAATGTATTTTTCTCAAAATATTTCTTACAAAAGTGCTTTTTGGAAGCTACATTTTTTCTGCTTCCCCTCAAAAATACCTTTTTTTTTTAAAAAAACTTGGTCAAACACTTTAATATTTTGGCCAAAACCGCTTTTGGTCAAAAAAATACTTTGGCGAAACACGCTATAAATTAAACTATAGGTAGAAGAGAAGACTGGCTGCTGAGAATTGAGATGTTCTAGAACTTGCACACTCTTGGTCATAATGAGTGGCTTCCACGTGGGCTTGGAGAATTTTAATAAGGTTGGTAAAGTAGTTTATTAATTCATTGTTTGGATGAAATATATTTGCTTTAAAGTGACTTAACATTAGGGGTGAGGTTCTATTCGATAGTTTATTTTTAGAAAATGTTGTACCAAACTAATTTTTTATTATTCATGGGGTATAATGAAAAATTAATCTTTTCCAAATTATTCCAATTGTTTGATCAGTATTAATTCTAAGTGTGATTCGATTATTTATAAGTATTTTATTTTCAGAAGAAGAAATGATTTATGCACGTTCCCTATATTTTTTGTTAAATTTTAATTGACTCTGTTTAACTTTGTCCACATTAATTATGAGATGTAAGTTTTCTTTACGTGTGTCACACGTGTATTCCATGCTGTAACTATAACTTTCTTAAAATCATATAAATAATCTTAAAATAAGTGTGCGATGAGTTATACAAAATTACAGAGGAGAAAGGCCAGGCTCAAACTGAATATATCAAATATTCAACTTTAACAGTTTGATACTATTTAAAAACATATAGTTTCAATTTGAATATGAGGAATATCAACATGTCTTCATTAGGATGACTAATAGATCATTGTCGATTTCATGGTATATGCCTATAAAAAAGTACTAGTTACAAGATACTTAATAGTTACTAACATAAAAAAATTCAATTTATATGTATAAATTATAAATGCATGTAATTCCAACTTATGAGTCCTTTACAAGAATATTAGTTGATTGTATATATATACAATCAACTAGCTGAAGGTCTATCGAGAACAACATATCTGCCCTTTCAGGAGTAGGGATAAGGTTGCGTACATCTTACCTTCCCCCGACCCCACTTGTGGAAAACTACTGGGTAACAAAAATGTATCACTCTGCTATTACTTATAATTAGAATAACGTCAAAATATAAAACTGTATGAGTGGACCAATAATGCAGAGAAAATTAGGAGATTTACAAGTAGAAAAAGAAATTTTAGCATTATTCCTGACCAAAAAAGAGGAATGGCACAAGGCACCAAATTAGGTAAAGTCAAAGTCCCAGGGGCAACATTTTGCTATAGAATTAGGAAGAATATGATGGCTGTTTAATACTTTTGGATAGATTTCCACCGAATTTTGACAGCACTGTTCATTTCTCAGCCAAGTGAATGATCCACTACGTCTTGATTATGAGCATGCACCACTACTGAAAGATTCCGAACAGCTGCTATGTAATACCATGAATAAGAACAATAGTTGTTGACCAGGTAAAAGAAAAGCATAGATGAACCAAATACTTCTCTCTCAGACAACACATCGAATCAGTTGTTACCAGTTAGAGCTAACTGTAATGATTCTTACACGAAATGATCCATGAGAAATACAAGAATTGATTTTAATTAGATGAGTGGTTCTACATATATAAACAACAAATATATTTAATATGTCATCTAAAATTAACCGCACATAAAGACAAAATTCTGTTCTAGGTTCAACTATCCTTCCAACATCTAATAACAGCCTAGGTGAGATTAATGTGCCCTCGAAAAAATTAGCGAAACTTTCTGAATCTGTTTGCACGCTATCGCTCTAATCATTGACCACCAAATACCTGTAAAAGGTGAAGAGCAAATTCCATCAAAAAGTAAGCAAGTTTTCAGCAAAAGGTGATTCGGGTTTTTTTTGGGGTTAAGGTAGCAAGAGGTGATCGGGGTAGAAAGGTGGGAAGGGGACTTACTCCGGCCAAAATGTCCTTAGACAGCCTTGGCTTGATTTTCCCAGCTTCATCTGCCACAGGTTTTTTCTGTGGAAACTGCCGTATCACCTTTGGCTCAAACTGTTCACTTGGGAGATTAGAAATTTCCCCAGATTCTTGTTGGACCTTTTGCCTCTGAAAAGATGCATAGTTGAAAGTATAGGATCATATTACTCAACCATGAAAGACAAACAGCATAAGGTACATAAAACTGAGTGGTCGAATACCTATGCTAAAACAGAGCACAAGCCTATAAGTAAATTACTGAATACTATTCGGAGCGTGGAGAAGATGGTAACAGTTGCTTCTCCATTCCCTCTCTTTTTCGCCCACTAATACATATCCTTATTATCTTTTGTTTTGACAAAAGAAACTTCTAAAGACCTAGTGATATCTTAGCGATCTGCACTATAAGCTGTTGATGAAAACCTTACAGAACAAAAGGACCGAAAAAGGTATAGAAAAATGGACCCACAGCGTGATTGCCTCAAGTTCTAGCAACTATTTTAACTTTAAAGTTAAACATACAATGAAAACATTAAGAATGAAACTCAAGAGGAAGGCAGACTGAGATGATGAATACGAAATTCAATCAAGGGAGTTCAAAACCCCACTCCAAATGAATTCATTAAAATGACTCACTGACCTTCTTTATTCGTTCTTCAATAGAACTTAAAGCACGGGACTTATCAACTTGTGTAAGGTAGAAATCACGCTCCCTTGTAGCAGCAGAAAGCTCCAAAGCTAGTTTCTGCTCATGAACTGCATGCCTTTTTGCTGCAAAAATATTTGAAATACATCAGCTAAGTTGTGAAAAGAGATTAAAGGATGCAGCATTACCAAATAAATTAAAAACAGCATCATACCAATTTCATCAGTAATATCATCCCATTTGATTTTAGACAAGTACTTGATATTCCAAATGTCATAATAGAATGCTGATCTCTTCCTTCCACCTATAGGAGCAGAAAATTTGGCAGTAAAGAAAATAACATTTTATGGCCACTGAAAATACAAGAAAAGCAGAAGTTGAAAGCTGATATGAAGAACATAAACAAGGATAATGTTAAGACAAATGGAAAAAGCAGCAAATCCACATTAGTATACTTGTAATAGAAGGCAATCTTTTGGCCACCGTATGATTAATTGGTGTTTCCCCTCAGAAATGTGTAAAAAACAAGCACACGTAACGAGTCAATACTCAGAAAGAAATAATGCAAAACTTCCTCCAACATTCACGATGTTACCCTATGGACCAAACGAAAAGAATCAAGATATCGTGTTATCGTACCTATTTGTTGACCATTTAACATATTTGCAACCCCCTTGGCAACACTCTTTTTCATAAATTCAACCCACCTACATATATAGATGATAGTTTAATGACTTTCGGTAATAAATACATAATCTTGCAGATGCAAGATGCAGTATTCATCATTTTAATGAAGGATAAATAAGAGATAAGCTGATATCTTAATCAAATAAACCTCAATATGAAGAATACCCTTCTGAAAATGCTTGCCCTCGGAATCCACCTGCCCGTTTCCGATTCATTTGAGCAGCAGCAGCTGGAAGCAAGGTAAATTAATATGGACAACTAAGCAGAGGGAAGGCGAAAACTGCTACATAATGAAGCATTTAACCAATAATGAAGATATTAGAGCATAAACAAGGAACTCAACCAACCTTCAGGTACAAGATAAATCCTCTGAATTTCTCCAAACTGAGAAAGAACCTGACGAAGTTTCACGTGGTCCATACGAGGCGGTACTCTACGCACGTGACAAACTCCACATTTTTCACCCTTCACAGCTTCTTTAAGTGACTTTTTCTTCTTTTTAACTTTTCGTACTTCTGTTTTAGCTTCATCTTCCCTCTGATCGTCTGCACATGCTGGACTTGTTTTTTCAACCTCCAATTCTTCTTCACCCATTTACTGACAAATGACACCACGGCAGGGGGAAAATATGGTTTGAGTAACAGATAAACTTTCTGCTACATCGACAAAGCTACAAGTATAATTCCAATGTATTCAAGAGGCATACCAGCAGGTTAGTAGATTAACTCCCCCCCCCCCTATTTTCTCTCCACCTTAAGGACAGCTAGAAGAGATTGACAACCACATTCATTTAGTAATAATAGAATTCAGCAAATACTCTGTAGCTCAGAAGACAAAATGAACAACAGATTTCAAAAATAATAGGAATGTTACTCCACTAATATCTAACTATTTATGTACTTAAAAAAAAAAAGACAATATCCAACTATCATAAGTATTTTTAGGTTATCTATTGAAGCTAGGGATGAACATTCGGTTAATTTGACTCAGTTTTGAAATGTTCAGAACTGAGCCTGCTTTCGGTTTGGTAAAAATGAAAAACGAAACCAAACTGAAATTAACTCAATTCAGTTTGGTTCTATGAAATTCGGTTCAGCCGTCAAATCCCAGGGCTCAACACTGGACAAGCGGTGGAAACTGCCAAGCTGGAGTACGGTAGGGGCTGTGTTTTGGATAGCATGCGGCGACAAATAGCGACGAGAGAACGCTTCACTGAGGCGAGAGGCGTGCAGCGAAGCGCTCGCCTTTTTTATGTGAAACGACAATTTATATAAAAAAATAAAATATTATATACATATAACTAAAAACTCAATAACAGAACTATATTAATAAATATATCAATTCAAAAATTAAAGACTCAATAGATAGTCATAGCAGATTCATAAACTAAAGTCTAATAGTCTAAAACAAGCAACATCTATTCTTCTTCAAGATTTTCAAATTCTACAACTTCATGAATGTAGCATTAAATTGGCTATTATCTTCTTCATCCTCAGAGTCTTCATCAATTAGGGATCGGCTTGAACTTGCTACTCCCTTTCCCTTGTAACTTGAACTTGAAGAACTCCCCCTAAGACCATAGATATTCTCCTCAACTCCTGCCACCATAGAAACAGTACCCCAATCAAGATCATCTCCTACATACACTTGTTCATCTTCATAATTTTGGGGGGCTCCAGTTAACCATTCATTTGCCTCGCCAATGTTGTCCAACAAAATTGGATCAATGGTATCGCAAGCTTCATAACGTCGCCTCGATGTTTGATAATGAAGTTCCAAATGGACACAGGGAAAATGACCCAAACAAAGAAACGGGCCTTGTGATCTTTCTAGCAAAAGAAACTAAGGCCAGATAAGATATTTTTTAGAATGAGCCAGGTGAGACTTTTACAGAAACATGTATATTGTTAGACCAGCAATTATTACCTCTTTTGTGGCAATGTGATTGGGTGGATGGATGATATCAGTTCAGGATTTGTAACTTATAAATGTGATAGATAGAAATCAAAGAGAAAGCAAGTAAGGGTTCTTTTCTTTTTCATGGTAGAAATATCTATGGTTTCCCTGAAGACTCCACTCGGCAACACAATTTGAAAGGCCCAAAATGGAAATCCAAACCGTCAGCAACTCAGCAGCAAATGGTGGAAGACAGCCTAGCCTTGTTATTATGGATTTTGGTACTTTTGATTTTGTAGGCTGAGCAGTGACTATGACCAACGGGCTAAGGATAGTTGGGTTAACATGTAATTAGGTCATGAATGCGCTAAAGCTAAGGTTCATTGTGTAAATTCTTAATTTCAGTTTTCGGTTAACCAAAAATTTCTAGTTCGAAAAACTGAAAGGCACCCACGATTTACAACATGTTTATTTTATTACTATTTGAAATTATGGTCGAGTCAAGTGAAACGCTCACTCGAATTGGGATTTACGTATCATGACTATACCACGGGAACCACACCCATAGTCACGATGATTTATTTAAGCGCGCCTAAAGCAAGCTACGATATTCATCAATTGATTACTTTTCTAAGTTCAAGATCGTGTGTTAAAGTTGAGAGTTATGAAGCCATGTATTGGGTTGGAATAAGTGCTGGCAGCTCAATATTCATCAACTAGTAGCCTAAACTCATACCCAATTGAACCAAACACCCAGTTGTTTTTTAGTTCTCAAACTCATGTCCAAAGTACTCAAAGAAGCTTGCATTAATTACAGACCAAAGACCTCATCAATATCTGTATTTCAACACTATTTGAACATAAATCAAAGAAGAATTGATCTAATTACATGATTGTTCCCACAAAACTTAAATCACACATGGTAAACAGTGAAATAGGAGGTATTATCCTACTAACTACACAATCCGTAACAAATTGAATAGGTATATCAAATATTCAAATATGTTCAGTCCATAACTAATCAACACAGCCAAAATCTGAGTAAACAATCACAAACTCAATATGAGTAATCCAGAATTTAATCCATAGACTCAAGTAGAGAAAAATAGGTGAGAATTTACATACCTAAAAGCGGTAAAACTGCACTAAAAGACCAAGCAAGGTCTGGAAATAGAAGCCGAAATTCAAGCTTCCAGCAGAGGACAACAGCAACACGGTTTCTTCAGCAAAACTAGAAAAATCGACACCAAATGCTAGCGAAATGTGCTTCTCCGTTCTCTAAATGTGTGTGTGTTTAAAAATGTGAGTGGGGAAAGAAAGTGAAGAAGGAGAGGTGGCGGCTAAGGTTGGGTCTTCCTCAGAGCGAGGGGAACTAAGGAACGGCTGCTAAGGTTCTAAAAGGGGAGGTAGGGTTCTGTCCCTCTAGAAAAAAAAACGGGCGTTTAGGGAAATGGGGAAAGGAAAACGAAGTAGTTTTGCCACTATACTACGCGGTTTTGTTGCTCAGGCCTTATAGGCATTTCGGGGGCGTTTGCACCTATACCTATTTTTTTGTTCACGTTTTAACTTATATCTGCTTGGGAAAAAAATTACAAGCGTACCCACTTTTCGCATAATTCAAGCATATGGGCCTTAAGTAGCAAAAAAATTTACCTAAAGTGCAGCAAAACTTCAGATATTTTTGCATGAAGTTTGACCTGTCTTGCAAAGGCAATCATGCATACTTCAGTTCAATAAAACAACAGCATGTGTTGGCTGAAGTTTTTGTATGTAATTGTTGAACTTAAGCATTCTAGTAGTTGAAGCTTTGTTCTGTATTTGCTGAACTTTAGCATGTTTTAGCTGAAGCTTTTGATTGTAATTGCTGAACTTCAGCATTCCAGTAGCTGGAGTTTTATTCTGTATTTGCTGAACTTCAGCATATTTTAGTTGAAGCTTTGTTATGTTTGTGATGAACTTCAGGGCTGAAGTTTATTTTGTATTTGTTGAACTTCAGCATTCTAGGAGCTGAAGTTTTTGAATCTGGCTATTTTTGAATTTCTCCCAAATTTTTATCTTCAATGTTTACAAATTATCCATTGTTGTTAATTTTTTCTTGATTTTTTAAGAAACTATTTTTTTTTTCAAATTTTCGAGTTACGGCCATCCAACTGAATAAATAATACAATCAGCCAGAACAAAAAAAAAAAGTGTTATGAAACAATAAAAGAAGAAGAAGAGTATTGCAGAGAAAAGTAGGGAGAGAGAATTCTTATTGATTTTGGGATGAATTACAATGGAATAAAACCCTCTATTTATAGGGAAAGGGTGACTTAGCCACCAAGTAATGAACCTAGAATCTCTCTAAAAATAGACATTCACCATAAATATAACTCTATTTATAACACTCTCCCTTGAATATCTATTCAATAGATAATGTGTCTCGTTAAAATCTTAACTAAAATAAAACCCAATGGGAAAAAAATTCTAGAAAAGGAAAAAGAGTACACATATCTAACAATACGCTTTTTGGTTGCCTCGTTAAAAATCTTGCAAGGAAAACCCAGCGGGACAAAACTTTGTAAGGGAAAAAGAATACAACGCGTATTAACTCCCCCTAATGAGAGCATTAATTCACATCTTTAAGCATTTGCATTCCAATCTTGTGCACTATCTTCAAACGATCTTTGTTAGAAACTTGATAAATAAATCAGCCATATTAACTTGAATGAATATATTGCATCCTGAAACCATCATTCTTGATAGAGATGTAATGTCTTCATAAACTTTCGTAGAATGACCTTTTCAATATCTCCATAGAGGTATTCTCGCTATCACATTATCATGCTTATAGTTATAGCAAAATACATGTGTGCACAAATTACACTTATCATACGGTACTTGGGGACCAAGAATTGTATATGCTTCAAGCGATTTAAATCCTTCAAGGATTGTCATATAAGTTAAGTCATATAAGCCATATAATAGACTTTAGATGCATATCAAATTTTTATGTCATGCTAGACATATAAGATATCGAAAACTGATTGCACATACCATTGACTTTATACTTTCAAGTATTTGAACAACATAGACAAAATTATATGTCTTTCATATGGAATCAATTCTACTTGAATTATGTCTCTTCCATTTGGCCAATACTTTTGTGTCTATATTCGATAGACTTAAGATCCTCATCTATACTTAGCGCTATGATAGATGTCGTCGATAAACATTTTATGTCGGTTCCAATATGTTTCATAAAGACATAACATAGAGATCTCTTCATTCATATATTCAGGTACCTGAATCTCTCATGAGACTTTATAAAGTGTTATGTCATGTGATCTTCTAGATCACTTGCCTCCCTTATTATGATCATTTTGATCATTTGTTCATCTTCTTAATCAAGAGGTTTATTTGAAACCGATTTGTCTATATGGTTTAAGCGTACCATAGACTTTGTCCTTCTAGGACTTAATAGGAGCATTTGCAATGAGAATATAGTTACTTTCTTTGGGTCAGCAAATGCGTCTAGCATACTTTGCAATATATTGCAGATGAATTATCTTTTTATGAACTTCAAGTTTATATTATCGTATTTGAGGATCTAGATATACAAATGATAATTCATTCCACATAACTTTTTCTCAACTATTTATCGTCTCTCCCCCCTCATGTTGGAAAAACTAACTTGTTTTCCTCAACTCTGAAAATTCATCTTTGTGTGTTATGGTGCTAATCAAAATACACACTGCACATTAATAATAATACGATGAAATTATTTGGTTTCTGACCCAGAAGCACTTGTGATGGGAGAATGTAATATACTTTCGTATATAACCTATATCAAACTGATATAGATAACTTTGTTCTCATAAGCAATAGTTTAGCTATTAAGTGGAGGCACTCAATAAATTATTTTGCTAAACCAACTGTGATGTAACTCAATTTATCAAGATAAACTATCTTGGATAGAAAAGCTGGAAATTATGCTCTAAATTAAATTATTGAGCAAATTACCTTGCAAACACTAAGTTGCAGGTTAAAAATAATCGCACATGTAACCATCTCATAGATGCATCTTATGTGGTATACATGGCAGGTGAATGAGCCCATATTCACCTTTGATATTTCCAGCATTCATGGGATTCAATCCCAATTTTAGTTGGTCAATTTAATTAATGAGAACATGCAATATAAGAGAATTCGTAAAGAACTTTCTAGTTCTTTAATATTTATCCATGTGAATTCTCTTTTATTTTTGCACATCATGGCTAAATCAATTATGCCAACTGGATAAATTATCAAAATTGATAAACTTCAGGTTTACACCATGATGCGTGCAATTATCAATAAACTTCAAGTTTATTATAATATGGGTTTTTATATCAATAAACTTCTACTTTATTGTTGCATCCTTTTATTTATGCAGTACAAATTGGAGAATAAAGCGGGTAGCTCCTCACATATATATTACCCCGTTACAAGTTGTAGTAATAGAAGATATTAAATCTTTCCTTTATTTATAGTCTCAATATAATCGATCGCTTTCGCGTATACTTTGGAAACTGAATAAGTTTCTTTGAGACTTACTACAACACAATAAATTGACATGACAATCAATTGTATTCCTTCAAAATAATAATAATTGGCTCTTCCAAAACTCTCAATTAATTTGGTGCTACCACATATTCATCAACATCCCTATGGTGGATATCTCTTTTAAAGAGAAAGTTATACCATTATGGTTATGGTCAAAATTATATGCAAAATCTGTTTCTTGCATTACCGTTGTCTTTAAATAATCACATTGCCAGAATATTTTGGCGTACAGTAGGTACGTCACCAATGACCATTCCTGCCATAATAATGACATTATTTTCTTATATCATCTCAAACCTTCTTCTAGAGGTGAGTATGATATATTCACTACCACTAGCACATTCATATTCTTCCAAGAATGAATATGTATTCATAAATAAGATGTTGTCACATTCACATCATGAATGGACCATAATCATCTATATGTACTTTATAAAATCTCATGTCAAATCGATGACAAACATTACTTTCACAGAGTGAAGGATTATTTTGAGAATCCTTATTATTCTCATTACTCAATGATGACGATTATAATTTATTCGTCTATTGCTACGTCCACATCCATTGATACATTCATAATAGTAATTTTGTCTTCTTTCAGACTTATCACATATTGCTATCACATTCTCTTAAGGGAACGAGAATGGAGCAAATTCAATAGGACGGGTTTTCAATTCCTTGCCCACAATCATACATGGATTTGATCATGGCAAGGCATAGAAATTTTACCACTTTGGGTGGTTATAATTTCTTTCAAACTCCATTAGAGTTGCAATCAAACTTTATCGTTTTTGCCTGTATTTAAAATCAAATTATAGAATGTCAAGAATTTGAAATAGAAAAGTAAAATACTTGCCTTAAATTCAGGATTTAATCATGAAGGAAGTTCATAGAACAATTAACAATCATTATGCTCAATCCCAAAACTTCTACTCAATTGGTCAGAGTCTCGTGCTGATAACGTGTTATGAAACAATAAAAGAAGAAGAAGAGTATTGCAGAGAAAGTAGGGAGAGAGAATTATTATTGATTTTGGGATGAATTACAATGAAATAAAACCCTCTATTTATAGGGAGAGGGTGACTTAGCCACCAAGTAATGAATCATAGAATCTCTCTGAATATAGACATTCATCATAAATATAATTCTATTTATAACAAAAAGGATACTTTCTAGCAACAAGTGAAAAAAAAATGAATAGCATAATCCTCACATAAAACTTGCTACCACGAGAAGAACTAATTAAAAGATAGAAGAATAAAGCTAAAAAGATGATAAATAAGAACTTATTTGATAATATTAAGCAGTGGAAGCAAACAAGATGAAGAATCTTAAGAGTGGATCCAAAGCTCTAAATATGAATTCTAACTGTACGTAGCTGGATCAATCCAAGTTCCAAATATTTAGCTGTACGTAGTTATAATTTTGTTCAATAAGAATTTTATTTCTAGAGGGTAATATAATTAATTTTACATTAGACATAATTTTTATTTAATTAATTTAAAATATTTAAAATTTTATACTTAACTAAAGTTTGGACTAATATTAAGTGTTTGTTCATGTAAGAATTCTAATATTTGGGGGGCGGAGGGGAGGGGATAGGAAAAAATCGATTATCATATAGTATTAAAGTCAAATTGGAAACATGCAAACCTATAGCAATAAGGATGAACTAGTAGTGGACAAATATATTCTAAATGCAAACTTTTAGCAATAAGAATAAATTAGTAGAAGACAAATGTAATCTATATAAGTTGTCATTAATTTTTTTTTTCTTTTTCTATTCATTTTATTATAAAAGATTAACGCAACATTAGTTATTCGTATACATTATATTGTCACTTGTCAATATTTTTCTATAAGTTAAAGGGTCAATCTCTTCGTTCACAAACCTTCACAAACCAAAAGATTTAATTTTTAATTTTATTATTTTGACAAATCATTGAAGAATTATGATAAAAAGTATGTTTGTGTTACTTGTTCGTTTACCGTATTAAATTGCAAAATAACAATAATTTCATAAGATATTCACAAGCATATGAGGATTTATATGGGGTATGATTACTTCTTTTTTTTATTGACGTAGCTAAATAGATCAACATCATGACTTTCAAAAACTTACACTTTCTTATTTAATTTATTATTTTATAAAAAAACTTAAACATAGTGTTTTAATACTAATATTTATGCAAGTTTTTAAAATTATATATTTATTAAAATAGGGTATACGCTAAAACTAGTATTATTTATAACAACATAGTAATTTTTGCAAATTTAGACTTCCCAACTCAGACTTTTATACAGAAACTTGAAACTTGTTTTTAATTTATCCTTTTATTGGGAACGTGCATAGAAATAGATTTTATGTTGCAGCATGAACCTTGAAGGACTTAGAGAAAAGTTAAATGAATTTAATGTAATCATTTTAAGAAGTAACTTTTGATAGATGTCAACGAGATTAACAGTTCCGCAAATCAATTAAGAACAAAAACCATTTATCTTCTTAATATAAATACTTTTGCAGTACTTTCTTATGCGAAACTAGACGTATAATAAACCAACTCACTCCTAAGACATTGGCACTACACAGACCACGTCCCACAGCTTGGTGTTTATAAAATAGACAGATTTACAAGTGGTCATTCAAAAATAGCCACAGTTTTAAAAGTAATCGACATTTAGTCACTTTTTATGTAAAGATAAATCTGAACGTTCAAAATTATTATACTGGAGTTCCAGTATATTATGTTGGAATTCCAGTATAATATACTGGAGTTCCAATATAATATTCCGGTCCAACATAATATACTGGAACTTTCAGCGTGTTGGAGTTTCAGCATAATATGCTGGAAGTTCACACACAGGTGCATCGATCTCCAGTATATTATGCTGGAACTTTCCGTGTTGCAGCAAAATATTGGCTATTTTTCAATGACTTTGCAAACACGGGCTATTTTTGTATGACCGGTCCAAAAACTGGTTAGCTCGTGCTATTAAAGTATGACTAGCAGGTTGCAAATAAATACCATTACCTAGGTAACAATGTCAATTAATCTGGTCGAGCCGGGTACATGAGCAAATGGCCTAAATTATGGAATAACAGGCTTTGAAAGTATTAAACTTACTTTACGTTTAAGCAAATAAACAATGTTCGGTCTATCTTAAACGGTGAATTCCCTATTTAAAATCCACGCCGGAGAACAAACTCAGCAGTTGGGATATTGTAAAGTTCTTCTTCGGACATGCCCATCATGGATCTTACTGGAATGTCACTAGGTGCTTCAACTGCTGACCAACCCTTGGACTGCTCAACTAGCTCAAGAATCTTCGCCAAAAAATAACAAAGTTAATACACATGGATGACTACTTCATCAGTGACAGGTTCCTTATTCTTGTAAGCAGCTATAAGTCCAGCATAGCAGAATTTATTAAGACCAATACCAGCAGCAGTCATGTCCCTAACAATTGCAAAGTTGGAAGGGCAGCCAATCAGATGCCAGAGGAAACGAAGATTACGAATCCAACAGAAAAATAAACCACGTAACACCATGGTTTGGAAAGATTGGATGAAACTTGACACTGAAACATCAACAAGGAGAGCAGAGAAGTTTTGACGCTGCAGGAAACTTTATGGTTCTGCATCCAGTAGCTTCCTATAGCATATTTATCAAAAACTGTTTTCACTAATAAGCAGATTCTTTCAGTTAAATGAACTCTAATCGTATCAACATGTTACTATCCAGACTATACACTAATAATTTGCTGTATTCCAGACTATCCACTACATGATGGACCTAATCGTACAACTAACTAAACAGATATCAAGATATGTCCATTTTTGTCATCTGGGAAAGATCTTCTCAAATCATCCCAAGCCTCAATACTCCAAACATCATCCAAGACAACAAGAAAACGCTTAAATTTCAAGCTTTTGTACAGCTGATCGGCTAATTCATCATTGGTTTTTGTGTAGGCATCAGAGAGATCAGTGATATGGCGCAAAATGCCTAATAGCATTTCCCTAACCTGATACTGTTGGGAAGACAGTAATCCAAGCATGGATATCAAAACGATTCACCAAGCAAGGATCATTATAAGAGGCTCTGGCAAGAGCAGTTTTGCCTATTTCACCCATACCTACTATTGGGACAATATTGAGTTCAGGTGACAATCTAAAGAGTCGACATCTGATTCTTTCCAAGTGATCATTGAAGTCCCAAAATCTGTTTTCTTGATGTGAAGCTTGTTCTGATGAATTACCAAGTAAGGACTCCCCTGCTTGGAAATCTTTGGTGCCATGAGCAAACGGATTAATGGTCTTCAGTTTCTTGTTTACAGACGAAATTTCTCTGAGTAATTCTTGCAATCCATATACTGATATCATATGAGCATTTCCTTCATTCTCACCACTTCTATTAATATGACTTGTGCATAGACATAACTCAATAGCATATTCGGCTTTATAAGCCACATCTCTTATCAGCCTCTCCCAAATTCTCATCTCGGGTTTTGTTGCTGAAGGTAGTTGAATAAAAGCCTGCAAAGAACTAACCTCACTATAGAGAGCTTCAAATGTTGCTCTCTTTTCAGGAAATAGACATGAATCTTGATTCAGCAGCTTCTCCAATGTCTGCGTAACCGAATTTAGAGAAGCATAGATCATCCTTTCCTCCCCTTAATAATCCTCTGGTTAACTGGGAAATTTCCTGTTGTTACCTCAATTAGGCCTACAAATACTCAACAAGACAATAACAATCAAACGGGAACTTAAACAAAAATGAAAAGAAAAGCTGCACAAAACTATGAAAGAAATGAACATTGCAGAATACCTGGAAATGAAAAAGGGGCGATCTTGCTGGCGTTCCACAGTTCAACAAATTTCAAGGTTTTTATTCCATAGAGAACAGTTGGGGTTGGCTTTATAACAGTCAACTTGATCATTGCTATACCCACTGGGATTAAAATAAAAAGGAACTTCTTTTATCTTAATCAAACTACAACTACTCGGAAAATTATATCTTGGAATGAAGAGCTAGAGCTACTAAACTTTTAATTGGTAGCTAGGATATAAAAACAATAGTTTATTAGGACAATAGCTAGCTGAGTTGATATATATGGAGTTAATTGCAGTAGTTTATTTTTGAAGTTCATGCATGCCATCTGCTTTTGACAGCATAGGATTTTTTTTTAAAAAATAAACAAGAAAAGATTCGTGAGTGGAATTGAAAGGATTGCAGAAAATGCTGCTATGGAGAAGTATAACAGGTGAAGCCCATGAGACCCGAGAAGCAGTATTTGCATGCATGTTCAAGAAGCAGAATACACTTATACAAGAAATTTGGAAATAACAAAATTAATAATAAAAAGTTCAGCATATAGGGGGTGATTGAATAAACATGAGGAACGAGAGAAGACAGAATATGAAGCATTATCTTTTCCTCTGTTTTTTTCCCTTCAAATAATTTATTATGACATAAAGGTTATTGCACATGAAACCTGAAGTTCCTCTTGGATGGGGATGAAGATGATGACAACCAGACAAGTTTTCAATTATATGTCTCATTTCTTTTTAACTGTTCTTCAACCTTGGGAAGACATCTGGTCTAGATTATAAAATGTGTTTCCATGAAGACTTAACTGTCTTAATTATAGAAAAGAACGAAAAAGTGCAGTCACTAAATTCTGGTCGAATTGCTGCTACTACAAAAGTACAAATTCGCTGTATTCAGGAAGATTTCCTATAACTTTAACAACCAATACATGGATTTTTGTCCAAAAGAGAGAGATTAGATTTCAGCAGTAACTACCCACTTTATCCCTATTGATTGGCATATTCCTCTCAAGGCTTAACTGTGTCTTTTCCGTAGTTTTTAATTAAGGAAAACGATTAAAAAAATGAATAAACGAAAACAGCGGGAGCAAAGCGCTGAACGACAAAGTGAACTTCTGCTTCTGCGAAGAAAATTAAGCAAGCAGCCCGTGTCCAAGAAACCACAATCACAAGTTCAAACTTAAAATTGAGCGTTACTTCTTTGTTTTTGTAACCGAAAATAGTGAAGCATATGATTTCAGTTTCACTCGTCATTCATACCATATGGGGCTAAGAAACTTAACCAGAAAAAAAAAGGAATATCTAAGCTAGTTGAGACATGCCATAACCACAAAAGGAAAGCGAAACATTTGTACAGGACCACAACTATAGTCACAACCATAGTTAACTAAAGAGACGAGAGAGAGAGAGAGAGAGAGAGAGAGAGACGCATTTTAGTTTACAAAATTTGATTACTCGACAGCTACTCACAGCAAATGGATTGCCCCCATACAAACAACAAATGGGCTGTTATTATACATAACTACAACCCCTGAAATGCTCTGGTTTGGGAAGAGAATCTAATATATTCAACTCCCACTGGCAAAAAGACCTTTGCATACGTATGTGGGGATTCATTCTTAGTTCCAAAATTTGATGTCTTTGACTAAGGAGTATCCCCATTTTTCAGAAAACGGGGTTTAAATCACCTTGACTTCTTTCCAAAACATTTCATGGTATAACACATATAGTAAGCTCAGACCACATACCAATTACCCAACTTCAGGCTCTGCCTCACTAGTCACACTGATCTTTAAGATATAGTACATGACCATAGTGATGAATAGGCAATAAGCTGGCAGAGTCCAATGCGTTTGTATCCATGTGGTGAACCATTACCGTTCACGAAAATTGGGAGCACATTGTTGGTGAACTACTCTCAATGCTCTATACAACTCGAACCCAAGTCCCACCACACATGGGACAGCCATATGCCCACCGGCTGATCCACCATACTTCCTTCTCATTTTGAGTGGCGGAAGGGTTGCCACCAGGTGAAGTAAAAGCTGAAGTCTGTCTCAAACATCTTATGCACTGCAAGAAACAGTCAACATCATAAACTGAGAAACTAAACTTAGACTACAATCAAATTATCTTGTTACGCTACTCATATCAATCAGGTCTCAACAAAATATATAGGAATAAGACCATGTTTTCTTACCATTTGCTACTAAATAGAAGAGAGTAAATAAATTGAAACTGATGCTAAGCGGGATTAGACTAAATCTGGATGAAAAACAGGGTTCGAATGAAGCTCGCTTTGCTTTGCTTTGCTTTCCCCAAGATATATCATTCATTGGGTAGATATTGCACAGATTTACTAACTAATGATTATAGCAGATTTCATCAGAAAACCCAAGGACTGATCAGCACGATAACGTATGATGTGGCCTACAGCCTAATTTCCATTATCTGATCAACAGTAAGTAGATTCTAAACCAACATACAAGTTGACCTCAGCAGCGTTAAGTACACTCACCTACGAAAATCTAAGACGTGACATGAGGATACTAGATTGTACACATGTGAGTGAGTCATATATGGTAGGTAAGAAACTGAATTATAACAATTATCAGTTGTTATGCAACACTCGAACATCGAAACCTTTTGATCTTAATAATTTAGCATTTCAAAATCACTTCTCGAAAAAACGATTCAGCATATAAAAAACATAATTAGAACTTTTATGCAACATAGGTAGCAAATAAAATGTCTAAGACAGAGAAATAATCCAAACACAACGCAAAATAAAAAGACAAAATTTCCCTAAACATTTTGGTGAAATTAATGTAAGTATCCGTATGAAATGGTAGTACAGGAAACTAAAATACCAAAACACCAAAACATTAAATCAACAAGACTTTTAGAAGAAGGAACTAAAGCCACATTGCAATGTTAGCGTTACCTTACAATGGATTCTTACAAGAAATTTATGTCAACTTTATCCAAGTAAATATGTCAATAATTTTAAATGCTAGCGTTGACTTTTGTTCTTCCCAAGTTAGGGACACTGGCCTAATTATCTCTCCAGTACACAATCCAACTTGGTTAATTATAACTTTATTTATGCCTTCATGCAAAGAGAAACAATAAAAAATGAACTATAACAGCAATAAATTGAAGCTAGGAATAAATAAAGATCCAAATGTTATAGACAAACCTTATACCAAACTCCTTCAAGCCCAGTCTTCCAAACAGCTGTCACAACATCTCGTCGAGACCCCATTATACCAAGATATGCACCCAGGCCCACTGAAGTATTCAACCCAAAAGCAGCGTCTCGTTCTGACATCCTACGTTTCCTTGGCCACAAACCATGAGCTCCATAAGATACATCACAGTTTTCTGATGAGCTGCACTCAGTCAAGTCCCTTGATGGGCTAAGCTTAGAATTATCGTCCACACCCCCAATATCTTCTGAATCAGACCAAGGTCCACCAAACATATTTCTCCTGTGCCATTCCTCAGCAGGTGGATGGAGCTCTAACTCACGCAATAGCAGCCCAGCAGCATCTGCACCTCTAGGGCGAGGCATATTCTGCAAGAAAAGGGAATGAGATGAGAAGAACTGTAAAAGTCTAAGAATTCTGGGGATTCCTACCCAAGCCTACATAAGTCGTTTTGTTTATGGTTGGTGTTTTTTTTCCCAATAGAGGAGGTTTGAAGTACTGCCGTGGCCCAATTGGAGTCGACAAATATAACCGGCTATCCCAGCCCATCCAACAAATATTTAAAAAACAAAATTTTCCTGTTATTTTCTTTCACGTGTTATTTTCTTGTATAAGACATAATTAAAATAGGATGACTGGAATAGAGAAGCTCTACAGAAGTGCTATGCTATAGAAAGATACCTAACAAAGTGAGAGACAAGTTCTACAGAATGATTCACTACAAATGTTACATAGGGGTGTATGTTGCCCAAGATATTTACAAAATGAATAGTATAACTCTGTAACTGGTGCGATAGATACAATGGACTTGTTTGAATCCCTAGCCTTGCAGGTCTGCCCAAGTCCAACTTATTATACTGTTCACAGTACCTTCTTGATACTCATTTGAGTAGTATTACCTAACCTTATCCCTAAAAAGAAGATGAATGCTATAAAAATCCGGACGTGAAAATGGATATATGGTTATACAAGATTAGACAAGAGTTAGAAATGATTAAAGAGGATTTGGTCAAATCAATGTAGACCTCTCTCTAGTTGCACTTGCCACTCGTGTTACTGATAAAAGGGAGAAAACTTTTCTTTAAAAAAACTTATATTTTTGCAGAATCCGTGGACTTAGTTAAGCAGAACACAACGGAAGCAAATATAATCTATAAAGACTAACAACTAGTTGGCATTAAACTAGTTATTCATACATGGTTGGGTTTAAGATTTAAAAAGAAATTGCTAATGCTTTAAAAGGCAAATTATTTAAATATTAAAATGAGATTTGGGATTGAATTGTAATTGATTGATATTTCCTCTCACATCTCGAAATCTAAGGTGCCGTTTTTTAACATTTACTATAATTAAAAAGTTAGCATGTCCCTTAGTCATTCATCCATAATAATTTTCTCATATCTGTCATCAACGTTTCTCCAGATACAGGACTAGTTTTTGTTTTTCCCACAACTCATTCATGCAGTTCTACCAGCCATCCTTTAGAAACACATGCATATTGTTAAAGTGTGTTAAAGTGTGTGACCATCTCATCTAAAAGCTTAAATAGACCACATTTTCTTTTGATTAAACTATGTCTTCAAGGAGGCCTGATTCTTTTTCATGGGCCAAGCACGTGAAAATTCTTTTGATAATGGGTGACGGTGAAACTCAAACTCACAACTTCCACCTGCTTTCGTACCATATTGAGTGTGTGACCACCTTATCTCAAACTTAAATAGTTAGAGAGAGCACACTTTTATTTCCTTATAATTCAACACATGTAAGTGATGTAACATATTATTGATGCTAAACATGTATATATATGCTTGCACTGTCAAAACTCAAAAGTAATATTCAACTATGGCATAGAGGATTGGAGCAGAACAATAATAGTATCTTTTGAAGGACTTCAAGTGGTATAGAAAGAGAATGGGACTAGAACCATAAGGAGGGATATTATTGCAACAATTTGCAATAAACTGATGAATGGGTATAAAATGTTAGGAAGGAAGCTCCAAATACATATCTAGCACCCAGAACAACAGGAATCATTACAGCTATAAATGTTGAGTTGTGTAAATAAAAAATTGCAAGACATATTCACTCCTACATGCATTGCACATGTACCTCAACAAATAGACCTAATGACGGTAGAATTACCTGCATGTGAGGTCCGAGGGAAGCTTCAACTACTTCTGGCAAAACAGTGTAGTTCCCATCAATGTAATGAAGGCGGACCTGAATGTTGCTGCTCCCAACCTGAGAAACCGGCAATGGATGCACCAAACCAGCAGTCCGACGACAAAGATCCATAAGAATAAGAAAGAGGACCCTCACCTGCATGACAGTTTCAATTTAATTAATATTTCATCCACATAGCG